AGACATAACTGCAGCTACACATTTGTAACAGAGATCTGGCCCATTTTGCTGACAGCAGTGAGTCTGCAGGGATGCTCGGCTCCTGCTCCAGCGCTCCGGTCCAGATCTTGCGCCTCTCGCTGCGTCGTGCTCTCCAGCTCTGTAGGTTTGTGGTTTCACAGGAAGCCACTCATGTTTGTGTAAAGCAATGCCTCCTATGTCATGTCTGTGTAGCTGTGGTGCTGCGCGGCTCTCTCACTGTGTTGCTTGTGCATGCTCTTCTTTTACGACTCTGAAGATCGCTGTTTCCCGAGCTCTCCAGGAACACTGGGCAAAACCCGTCGCTTCATATAGGGGTCTGAATCTCTGTCTGGGGGGGATTTAAAGCCGGTAGCAGGTGCTGAGGGGACCCTTTGCGTTTTCTCTCTTTTGTTGTGAGACAGAGCGTCAGCTATAAGACATCCTCTGAAGTTCATGGACCTGTGGAGGAGACTGATTCTAAAACAGCATACGGACATGGGATTGTTCAGGCAACCCGCTGGGAATCAGTAGAAGCGGATTAAAAAGGGAATCTCTGTGCTTGTATGTGTGTGTCTGTTTTGTTTTCTAGGAGCATGGGGCTCCGGTGCGCTCTACACCAAGAGCCCTGCACGGCTGGACTGAAAGTGGTGTGATTCGGTTTTATTGCGTCGACCGGCTCTGGAGTTTTTAGAGGGCAAGGAGCAGCTCGTTGTTGATCCTTTAGCCCTGATCTTTTCAGCACAGCATGAAGAGTCACCCATGTGTCCGCCCTGGGCATCCCAACATGGCTGTGTACGACGTGGATGATGTCCGGGAAGCCTTGGCTAGCCCGGTCAAACGGCTCAAAACTGACCATCCCCTTCCCTGTCTCCCTCCAGAGGAGGCCTACCAGAAACTGGCCACCGAGACCCTGGAGGAGCTGGACTGGTGCCTGGACCAGCTGGAGACCCTGCAGACCCGACACTCCGTCAGCGAGATGGCCTCCAACAAGGTGAGTCACCGTTAAACTTCCCACCTAACACATGGTATTTTCCACTCGCATCCCTCTAGGGAGCTTACGTCGCACCTAAGAACGAAGGGCTTCCCCTTGACTTAATGTCATTACTGCCGCTGCCCAGGGGAGCTCAGGTAATTGGTGCGATTTGGCAGGGCTGTTGGCTCGCAGACGGGAGACGTTATCAGGTAGTGTAGCGCCAAGATGGCTGCCCCAGGGGGTGCAGTTTCAGGGAGATACACACACGAGTCATGTACGTGCAGGATTGTGAGTCAGGGTTGTCCATCACGCATCCTGCTTCGGCACGGCCGACGACATCCGACAGCTCGATGCGCCATCAAAACACCAAATGCTTGTTGCCCCACTGTGTGAGTATAAACAACTGTGTCCTTTACGCTGGTGTCTGTTTATGCATGCATGCATGTGTGCGTGTCTAGCCCATGCTGGAAGACCTTAAGTCAGACTGAAGCGTCGTTGTCGTTGAAATCGTGGGTCTATTCTTGTGGGAGGGAGGTCAGATTGCTGGAGATCATGTTTAGCATTGCTGATGACTGCACAGGCATCTTTTAATGTGGCATGCCGCTGTGCCCAAGACTGCAGTCTCCAGCAAAGCTTCCCTTTAATTCCTTTTTGTGGAGGGGGTTAGGGAAATACAGGATAGAGGTCTTGTTTTGGTTTATGTGTTTGGTGCGGGTCTAAGAGGAGGGGAGGTGCCGGTATTACTGAAGGTCATGAATCATTTTTCACATTGGAACTGGGTGATATAATGTTTGTTGTCATGTAAATGTTGAATTTTTTTATTGGATTTTGGTACTTTGAATTATTGTTCCACAAACTGGATATTTACATTTTTAAAGAAAAGATAAGTGGTGTTTGCATGTGCAAAACTCATGTTACGATGGCAGGGAGTTGTGAACGGTTGCCAGGGTGTTGCTGTGTGATTGCTAGACTGTTCTAGGTGGTTTCGGGGGATTTCTAGGCAGTTGCATGGTGGTTACATGATTTTGGGCCAATAGGTGATTGCTGGGGGGTTGCTAGGTCTGTGGGGTTTTCCACCCATTTTTATCATCCACCAGGTGCAAATTCTGATAATTTGAAGTTGCATTCTTGTCCATAGCACAGACAAAGTTTAATACTTAGGTTTAGTAATGTGAACAAACCTCTAGCCCAAAGTGTGATATATTGTATTTTATATATATATATATATATATATACTGTATATGTACCACCTAACATTAAAGTTTTTAAATATACATTTATTTTGCAATAATTTCACATTCAATCTTCAAATTAATGTAGAAACAACATAAAGACAGTATATTTTTAATATTTGTTTCATGGCATCTTTTTTTTATGACTGAAGCCGAGTATCACTGATACCAATAGTACTGGTGTATCTATGAAATTGTTTTTTTCCCCCGAATATTGTACCATTGACTATAGCCATTCAGCATTACAGTATAATTTAGAGCTATCAATCTGAACATTTATTAGACTTTAAAATAACAACTGCTAATTTAAGTGAATTTAAAACAATCTTCACATAAACCCATTATAATAAATGTCATATTTACCTGTGCCCTTCAGCAAGTACACAGAAATTGAATAAAGTTATTAAACACTAAATTCTAAATTATATATAGATGAAACCTTCAATCTACAAAAGTTATTGATTTGCTCTTTTTTCTTTTGTTCTTTGATGAACAGACATCACAGCAGCTGGGTTATTCGGTTATTTTGGCTGCTTTAAGAGCTGCCGCTGCTGAACATGATTCTGGATCTGATCCTATTGTCTCACAACTCTTTATCTTTTCAGATCCACTTCATCCTGCTCCAGGACACTTTTAAAACCACTGCATTTTAGAGACATGTTAAATGTGACTCATATATGACAAATACTTACATGCATGCACAGTTTTAAGGCAGCGTTAATCACCTTTTTACCTATGCAGTGGTTGCCTATAATTTCAAATGGCTAGTTTTTTTTTAAGGCCAGTTTGCTTGTTATAGAGCAAATAACCAATAAATAAATTTGCTTAAAAAAAAAATCTAAATCTGAATCCATGAAAAATCATGCAATCAGTGCATCACTAATTAAAATACTAAATAAATGGCCTCAAATTGGAAGTACAGTCTTTTTCTATCAATTCTTCAGTAGGTAGATCTTGCCTTTCATAAAGGCCGAGGTCAGGGATCTTGGGCTTGAAAAGGTTGGTGACCACTGGTGTAGGGCGATAAAATATACAAAAACCATTACGCCTATGGATTCCCCACAAGGATAGTAAACCAGACATGTGTGTATATATATATATTACCCAAACACCTTCATATAATGAAATGTAAACATGTTTGCAACATCCCATATTAGACAATGTTTACATGTAAATATTCTTCAATCTATTAATTGTTCCTGCCAACTATTATAATTTCTTACAATCTGTGGGTATTATGCAAACTGTTTACAGTGACACCGATTATATAACCTCACCATATCATCAGACTTTATTGCTGAATAGACAGGAAGCACTCTTTGTAGAACTGGTTTTAGGTCAGACACTGGCCTGGTCTTTAGTTGCTGTGTGGCTGCTTTCTGGCCCAAGACAAAAGAGTCCACCTTCAAGTTTCGATGATCTTTTGTAGATACAGCTTAGTTCCCTCCTTCAATGTGTGTCTGTGTGATTTTTTTCACCTGTTTTATCATCCAGCAGGTGAAAATGGTGCATCTGATAAATTAGTAGAGTAACAGCACACTCTCCTCAACATCACACATGATTTGAGGAATCATTCATACGTGCAGAAGGTGAATACTGTTGAAAACACCTAACGCTAAGAAGTAATATAGACACTTGTATGCAGCATATGCTTGTATATCGAGTCTCAAGGCTCAATGCTGATATAGAATGAGATGCTGCATGTCTAAACTAGCCCAGGCATGACATCATGGCGTCCTGACAGTGTATGTGAGGGTTTTAACATTCACACACAGCAGACAGGCTGCGATATGCACAACCAGACTCATGCTAGTGACGTAACTGCATCAGTGTCCTCATATTTATCACAATGTGCCTTTAACATTTCAGGCCCAAATAAGTGTTTAGGCAGAGAGCCACTAAGATGCTGTAATGTTTGCTAGTGGACCTCATTAACCTTTAGGCTGGGTGTCTTTGTGCCGAATGTGGTACGTGTGCATCGTCTGCGCTGCCTCTCAGCCCACTGCAGGGCTCAATTTGTCTGTGTCGCCATGGCGACTGCAAGCATGTGGGATCCTGCACAAGCCTGTTTGTCTACGCTGTGACAGGGAGGGCATGTTGTTGCTGTGTGTGTGTACTGTAGGTATTCTGTTCATCAGTATGCAGCGTGGCAGGCCTATGCCAGTGATTCTGGAGCATGCTCAGTACATTCAAAAACAAACCATAAAAACAGGCAGGAGAGACTGAGGGGCCGTGAAGGAGGGCTGCTTCTGATTGTGTCCAGTGAGAACAAATGTAAAATGCCTTACACACCTGATCATCATAATATGATGCGAAGAGATGCAAATGAAGATGCTGTTCAGAAATGAACTGCGTTCTGTAACAGCACAGCGAATCAAATGCAAATTTAAGTGTGTTATCTGATCTCTGGCTGCTTTATTGCATAACATATATTGTGTCTTGAAACATCGAATGATTCTAGAATGTACCATTTGACAGACTCTTTTACTGGTATCAATATTTATTTAGACACATAAAGAATCGCCAATGACTATGAAAACAATTAATCCAACATCAGCAACTAAATAATCCTATAATCCCTAAACTAAGGGCTCAAATTGAGAGGATTTAATGGATTTAAACAAACCCCTAACCTTAAGAATTAAAGTACAGCATGAAACTTGTGCTGTTTGTACTCCAGACATTAATGATTCTTCAAATTATGTGTCTTGTTGAGGAGTGCGCTGTTAATTTACTAAATGATCCTACAAATTTAAATTCAAGGTTGGACTCGATCCATATCACAGAAGATCACAATATAAATATATTTTTATATAAAATTATATGAATATATATATACACACACCTCAAACACCACACCCCGCGGCCAGAGCCGAAGGGAAGAAAGACAGAAGGAAAATGAGACATATGAGTTATGGAGGGGGGGTTCGGTGTATGGGATGAGGGGTATCTGTGGCCAGTGGCTTTCTTGAATGATTTGGATCCTGCACGCGTGCTGTGGTAAAGCCTTTGGCGTCCCATTGGTCTTCTCTGAAGCAGCGACCGCAAAGCACGAAACGTTGAACGATATTCAAAGCGTCCACCGACGACTTTAATCAAAGCCACACGAGGCCTGTGTGAGCTCAGCTAAAGGCCTCAGATCCAGCCAGAATTCACCAGACTACTTCACAGAAAACCACAGAGCTCTATAACAAACGGCCTTCCTGCATCACAGTACGGCCTTCATACAGCAACACAGACACATAATGTGCCGTTGTGTCCCACAATTTTGTGTCAACAATTTAAAATTCCTGCAACCAGTGCAAAACCTTTATCAATGAGCCTTCATCAAATTTAGCCTTTGTGCACTTAAGCTGTTGGTTCATCCAGTTCCAGGATGCATTTAGTATCCGTCAGATCTGTTCGGAATTATGTGTTATTATGAGTGTGCATGTTCCCAATAAAACTTGACGTGATGATAATTAGATCTCCAGAAATAGCATTGCCTTCTTGATGATGAGCATGAAAGTCATCGCGGCAGATTTTGGGGTGTGGTCGTGGGGGGGTTTTCCCCCCATGTTTCCATCAGCATGACACCAGCCTCAACCTGCAGCAGACTCTTCCTATGGTGCGACCACACTGCTTCTAGTTAGCAGTAGTCTATAATTAATCATAATCCACTGTACTGTATGCCAGTGTTTCTTACAGGATCCTGTTTTGTGTACGGTTACTATGGTTCCATCATGTCACTCGCTCTACAGTATGACTAGTGGTGGCAGATATGACCAGTATGATATTACCGTATATATAATACAGTAAGTTTTTTTTTTTTGCTTGAAATCCAACACAAAAATGTTTTCTGTATGACACTATATATTTAAAAAAAAAAAAACATTGAGATAAATAAATACTTTATTTATTTATTTTACTTTTTAAAATCTTTTTTATTTGACCAAAATATTAGATTAGATTAGATTAGAATGATTGATCAATCGATCGATTTTCTCGTCTTTTTTAATCTTTTTTTTTGTTTGCCGAAATATTAGATTTGATTGAGTGATTATTTATTTATTTAACATTTGAATTTAATATATTTTACAATTTTAATTATTTTTAATTTACGTTTGCTTTTTAAAAATTCTTTATTTGTCCAAAATATCAAATTATTCATAAGAAATGAATGATAAGTCTGACATCAGTGCAAAAACAGCTTTAAATTATGAAACATTTGAATTAAAATAAAAGACTCAAAGCTGTCAAACATTATAAACCTGATTGGATAAGCTCTGATCGATATATAGTTTGATTCAGACTGATTTATGAACCTTTTTAATAATAATAATTGAATGAATTCATTTAATTGAATTCAATGAGCTTCTCAAAGTGTGTTACATAGTAAATCACAACTATCACAATCATAACACAACTAGTAAAAATACATATAAACAAACAGTAAATAAGCATACATATCACAATCAACTAAAAGCAAACCAAAATAATGTTTCAGCTAAGATACTAAGTAACTTATTTTTGACAGATTCTTTCCACAAATGTCATTCTTTACTAATCAGACATCATTTATTGTTTAAGATGTGCATTTTTATTGTCCAGTCTTTATATGCGGTGTCAGACATGCATTTATGCAACAAAATGTGTCTAAAATGTGATTTTATTATCAGATGAGTGCAGACATAATGATTGTAAAGGCCATGTTTTGTTCTTATTTTTATCGGAGTGTTGTTCAGTAGGTTATAGTAGGTTAGTAGGGAGTTCTTGGTTATACAAGAAAGAAAAACTGACATACACAGCGATTCGCTCAAGCTTTATTTCCTTGTTTATGATGAACCACATAATGTGTTGCTTTGCATAAAAAAATGCTTTGACGTAATACGCCACCACAGAGGCTTCATATTTCTCCTGATATTATAGTATCAATGCCGTATGGTAAAGGCTTCAGGTTCATATTCAAATCAGCCACAAACAAACCCGGCCGATGGCTATTGCTTTCATAAAAGAGCCCCTGATCTATCATTTGTTTTTGAAATGAGAACATCTCCCCTGGCCACATGAAAGCCTCATGTTATGCTTGCATGGGGGCCGATATCTCCATATGAATGCTGGCGTATTGTTCCAGACATGTTTGTTTTATTTTCAGATCTCCGTTCTCTTCTCCAGTTTGCAAGTGTCATCAAAGACGCCCACTTCTGATTAGCCTTTGATTGGAGAATGGAAGTGGACGTTACCTGGGCCCTGTTTATCAGCATGTCAATATTTACACTCAAACAAGAGTTTGTTTTACAGTCTGAGAAGTTTAACTACTTCCTCTTTTTGACTGTCATGGATTTGAAATTAATTTTACACGTTTTCATGAACATCACATCAACCAGGCCGTGCTTTGGTATAGTGGCAGTTGGCCAGGCCAGTAGCCTTATCAAATAAATAATTGAGCGTTAAATATTTATTTGATCTAAAAATATTTTATTATTTGAGAAGATAACTATTTCAACCAAGATTTTTTTATATAATTTATTATGTATATTATGTATAAAATCCAGTTTAATCCATTTAATGCTTTTTTTTTGTTTGTTTAGTTGCTTACTTTTAATTGTACATATTTTTATCAATTTTATTTGATTAATTCATTTTAATTTTATTTATTTATTGCATTTGTTATGTAAGACTTTAAAGATGAGAAGCATTATTTAGCCTGGCAAATATTTGTGACTCTAAAAAGTTCATCTTCCCTTAGGGTGAAAAAAAAAAACATATTGAGGTGACATTTAATCACAAATGAGAAGAAAAAAATCATTTAGCAAATAAATGAGCATTAAATATTTATTAAATCTAAAATTATTTTATTATTTCAGAAGATTATTATTATAATTTTTTTATTCTAGAAATTCAACCCAGAAATGTTTCTGGGTTGAATTTCTGAATTTTGTTGAAAATGAAAATTTTATTGCATATGTTTTGAAAATCCAGTTTAATCCTTGTAATACTTTTAATTGTACATATTTTATTTTTTAGCTATTTTATTCATTTATTTACATTTTTTAATTGTGACCCTGGAGCACAAAAGCAGTCTTAAGTCGCTGGGGTATATTTGTAGCAATAGCCAAAAATACATTGTATGGGTCAAAATTATCGATTTTTTTTTTTATGCCAAAAATCATTAGGATATTAAGTAAAGATCATGTTCCATGAAGATATTTTGTAAATTTCCTACCGTAAATATATTAAAACTTAATTTTTGATTAGTAATATGCATTGCTAAGAACTTCATTTGGACAGCTTTAAAGATGATTTTCTCAATATTTTGATTTTTTTGCACCCTCAGATTCCAGATTTTCAAATAGTTGTATCTCGGCCAAATATTGTCCTATCCTAACAAACCATACATCAATGGAAAGCTTATTTATTTCATATATATTATCTTATGACTGGTTTTGTGGTCCAAGGTCACAATTTAGTTTATTGTATTTTAATATTTGAAAGAAGTATTAATTAAATATATAAAAATATATATAAATATAAATTTTTTTATGTTATCATTGAAACACTGCTATACAATTTGGACTCAAAGTGCATGAAAAAAAATTTTGAAAACAGAAATGGTTTATTATCCCTCAACATTGCAGTTAACGTTGATGTTAGAAATGACGCGAGAGGAAGCTCCTGCTTCTGATATATGTAAAATATCATCTGAATTATATCTGTCTATCAATACTTGATGAAATATTGTCGACAGATACACCACACAGGAGCCGGTCTCCTGCTCTCATGAGTCATCGGAGCACACTGCCGCTCTGCCGTATGATTTTACCAGGTACAAGGTGAGCTGTGAAAACACAGTCGTTCTCCAAGGCCTGCATCCTCCATCAGCAGATGACGGCGCTCCTGCCCCCATCTCTCCCTCTCAGTAATGAGCTGTGATTGGCTGTGTGGAGGGGCACGAGCAGCACCGATTATAGGAGCAGTCCCATATTTGGAAGGTGTTGAGCAGCCCAGCATCTTTCTCACGGCTCAGAAGAGCACAGCCAAGCCATGTCTGTCAGCCTCCGCACCTCCATCGCACCTCCACCTGATCCCCAGATGCAGTTTTTAGACTGAGCCCACAGAAGCATTTGCGTGGCATTGTCTGAAGGATTTAGGAGTGGTTCGTTTCTTGCTTTTGCGTGTTTTGGAGCTTTAACAAAGATGCCTGAAGCAAATTATTTACGCTCGGTCTCATGGGGATATATAAAGGTATGGCATCATGGTTTCTCTGAAGCTGATTTTATGTATCTGTAGTCTTGGATGTACGGGGATCCTTATTTAGTAGCTAGCTGTGAAGTAGCAAAATGCAAACAATCAATTTTGGCCTCTATGCATTTACTTATCTTTCATTCATTGAGGGTTTTGTGTCGTCATGAATTGATATATTCAAATAATGTGTGGTACAACACATGTAAATTATATGCAAATTAGCAGAGATGAATATTTTATAGTTTGGTGTGAGAAAAACCTTTCTGGAGTTTTATTTGACCAGGTTTGAAGGCTTTAGGTTGATCTAAACTGCCATATACAGATATTTTCAGTGTTAATGGTGTGTTGTTGTAAATCAGTGCATTTGTTATGTAAGACAGTAAAGATGAAAAGTATTTTTAGGGCTGGCAAATATATGTGATTAAACGATTCATCCTCCTTTAGAGTAAATCCGTCAAAAACATACTGAGGGACAGTTTCTTCACAAATGAAAGGGGAAAAAATTATAAATTATGTTTTGCATGAAGAAAATAAAGCCTATTTAGCACTATTATATCATTGTAATTGTTATAATTATTATTATGAAAATAATATATATATATAATTTTTTTTTTTTAAATGAAATATTATATTTATATATAATAAAATATAATAATTGTAAATATTCTCTCTTTTAATTCTTAATTATTCATGATGGGATTACAAATATGAACTTATGAATTCATGAAATGTGCCTGATTTCTAGATATGGCTATTTTTAGATCTGGTCTGGTTTTATTTGAAGGGTCCGAGGGCGTCTGTTCTCACACTGATTAGAATAGAAGGTTACAGCTGATTGATTTTAAAATTCAGTTGATTGATTAATTTATTCATTGTCTTTGTGTCACCCAATCATGACGCATTACCATGACTGATTAAAACTTTTGTCCTATCTCTCTCTCTCTCTCTCTCTCTATCTATCTATCTATCTATC